TAAATCCTTTTAAAATGTTCTAGAATAACAAAAGTTAAGGAATTAGATCTATCCATTCAAAAGTCTTAAACTAACACTAAAATTCAAATCGAATGTAATATTATCATCATTATAGGCTGTGTTAATACTAAATTGTACATTTCTAAGGTGTAAAACTCACTTCCAATTACATTTAAGTTTTTAAAAAATTCGTATATATTATAATTTTTGGAGTGAAATTTTTATCAAAAACAAAGCCGTCATTTTTTAGTTTAAATACCGTAAGGTTGGTGCTTATTATATTTAACTAAATTCATCACATTCAAATATGTCTATATTTGATCAATAACTACTTAAAAAATTAAGTGTTTACTGATTGATAGTAGAATTAAATCACTTGTGACTGATTTTATTAGTTTTCTAATACTTTAGGATAAACAAGTAATGTTGAGCATGAAACTGGTCTTACTATTGATGCTTCAATAAAATTAAAACCTTATCTAGCACTATTATTCATGTTAAGACAGTTAAAATAAATATTTAAGAACTATTGGATAAAGCATTATAAAGAAAAACAATTTGACTGTTGGATAAACCAATTTTAACCTATAATTATGTTTATTTTAAATTGGTACTAATGAAACGTATATTTTAGAAAATAGTAAAAAAAATTATTGATAAATAAATTATCTTATGAAAAAGAAAGATTTTAATAAAGATTTAATGAATGAGCAGTTAGAGAAGCTTGAATTGATAATTTTTCATTAATAGATTTTTTTATTAAGAAAACCGGTGATTTAAGACGTGTGATTGATTATAAAAAAATTTAATTCTATAACTTAAAAGGTACAGTATTGAGCAAAAAAGTAAGACCACCTCAAAATCGTTCACAAAACCACACACATGTCATGATTAAATTTTTTTCACAGTATTTAATTTAAAATTATGGAATTAAGTTTTAAAATATTTTATACTTTTGTGTTTTCTGTGTAAGTATAGAATTTTTTAAAAAAAATATATACAAAAAATAAAACCAGAATAAAAACAGTTTTTTTGAAAGCCTAATGTCTAAACAGTTATCAAATGAGTTATTAGTGGTAATTAACGATGATATTTTAAAGGGAATCAGTCAAAGAATGATTGCAGTTAAAAGGGGTGTAAGTAAGACTACCGTCTCAAATGTTGAATTTAAAATAGATAAAACATCTCAATTATATGTAAATATAGATCAAGAAGGCCTGAAAAGCTAAATGATAGTTTAAAATTGAATTATTTATGATTTATGATAAAAATCATCGATTAAGTTTAATAGATATTACAAAAATTTTTTATAATAACTTCAAAATTGAAATTTCTAGATTTACTGTAGCAAGAATCTTGAAGGATTTTGGTTTAATAACTAAAAATTTGCTATAAAACCATTATTGAGACCACAAAACATAGTTAAAAGATTTGATTCTTCAAAAAAAATTTTAGGTATTTCAAATGAAACTTTGAATACTATTATTTTTTCTGATAAGTGTAAATTTAACTTATTTACTGGTGATGAAATTCAATACGTGTGTTATTTACCAGGTGAAAGGTATAAACCTGAGAATACTGTTGCTATGACAAAACATGAAAGTGGGTGTCTTATGTTTTTGGGTTGTATTTCCTCACAGGGTGTTGGGAGACTTATTAAAATAGAATCAACTATGATAGCAACAAGTTATAAGCAGATTTTAGTTCAGAATCTTTTACCTTCTGCATGTGAAATAAGACTTGATGAATTTATATTCATACAAAATAACAACCAAAAACACACTGTAAGACTTGTTGAAGAATACTTTGATGAAAATAACATTGATGTTTTAGAATGGCCTCCACAGAGTCCAAATCTAAATCCCATTGAATCCATATTGACTTATATTAAGTGTAGGTTAGCAAACATAGGAAAGTTAAAAAAATCGAATTGAGTGATAAAATTAAAGATATTTGGTGTTCAATACCTCAACTTCTAATAACTAAGTATGTTAAAAGTTTTCATAAACGTGTATAAGAAGTTTTTAAAATAAAAGGTAATAATGCCAGATATTAAATTTAGATACCGTTTCGATTGACGCTCCACAATCGATTAGGCGCCCTAAAATATATATATTTTTTTTTGCTAAAATTTTTAAAAGATTAAAAATATTTATTAATTGTTTCTACTAATAATTTCTAAAAATTTTTCAAATGCTTCATCTTTGTATAAGTAACAGAAGCAGAAAAAGCTCAAATGGCTTTGCAACAATGATGAGGTAGTTCCCTTCTTATTCTTAATTATCTTCAATTTTACATGACCCCAAATACACTCAATTAATTGAGTATGACAGCGGGTCTCAGGGTCAACAAAGTTTTCAGAATGATTACGACCTTATGGTCGTGAAACATAGTATTCAATCCCAAACACGCTCTCGATCCATCACTATGAATAATAGTTTTTAAATCAATATACTCAACTAGGAGAGGAAGTAGAGTGTTGCAATCTCTTCTTTCTACAACAAATAATTTAACCTTTTTAAACCCCTCTTCAGTCATGCCGAAAACCCATGGTCTATTTACTCGTTCGCCATAATTCATTTTACGGCCAGCATCACTATTATTCTCCACAAAGTCACCCAAAAGAAATCTTCCACGGTTGTAATTTCGACGACCTCTAAACAGAAATTCGTCGATTTGTACAACTTTACCTTCACTCCCAGTTTTTCACTCATAATATGATCATGAGTTTCCACCCTTATGTGGTTCGTCCAATTAGTAACAATTTCACTACCTTTAATTTGAGTGGTAGACATGATATATTTTACTATCCTTTTCTCAAAATAAGGATAGATCAATTTTACTAATGTTTGAACTGGAGTAGCAAATCGTCTTCTTCCCTCTTCACAACAAAAAAATATTATCAAAGAGAGTACATTCTCTTCAACACGACTTGCATCGAAGAAAAAAATGTATTTTTTGGACTCTTCTTATTGAATTTATGGAGAGTCTGCTGCTATGGTAAAATTTGCACTGTCTCTCATCCACAGGTTTTAAGCAACCACTTTCTTCTAGAAAGGTTAAGAAAGATTATTCCTCCCACAATATTTCCAATAATTTTTCATAAATCATAAAGGATTTAAAAAATTTTTTAAAATTTATATATATAAATTTTGGAGCGCCTAACCGGTTGTGGGCGCCAACCGAAACAATACCTAAATTTATTGTTGTCTTATTTTTTTGCATTTATTTTTTTAAAATTCTATATTTACACATAAAACACAAAAATATAAAATATTTTAAAATCTATTTCTATAATTTTATTTAATATATATTGTGAAAGAAAAATTTATAATTGTGACATATGTGTGGTTTTGTGAATTATTTTTTAGGTAGTTTTATTTTTTACTCAATACTGTACATTCTTTCAATGATTGATAATTTTTCTAAATTTATCAATCTTGTAATAATACTAGGTATAGAAACTGACACTGTAATTGATGCCTTTATATGTGAGTGACTCTTAAGATATCCCCACCCTTCCATAATCACAATAGATCAAAAAACTAATTTATATAATAACTTTAAATCACTTTTAAATCAATATTTTATTACACATTAACCTACGTTAAGTTATAATCCAACTGGAAATTGTATCATGGAAAGAATACACAGTGATATTGGTTCAATTCTCAGAATACAAAAAAATACTAAGTTACGCGATTTGATAAGAAGAATCTGTTTTAATCATAACATACCATTCAAGCCTTAAATGTACACCAAACCAACTAATATTTGGAGAAAACATTAACAAACAACATGAAAGAAAAAGCATACCATTAATTAACGAAACTTATCAGTTATAAAAAAGTTAAAGGAAAAAACTTACTAGTCAAGAAACACTAAGAGAACAGAAGTTGATTTTAACAATGAGTATATTTTTGTAAAAATTTAGGAACATCTAAGCTAAACCCTATTTGGGATGGTCTTTTTAAAGTTTTATCAGTAAACTTAGAATTTGGTACTTAGTGCATTATAAAAGAAAATCTACACGAATAGATTCCTTTCCATCATCTTAAGTCTCTTTTAGGAGGTAATACTGTTGTATGACTACAACTATTTTTTATACTAAAATA